GGGGGGGGGGGGGGCAGCAGTTCAATCATATTAATCCTTCACCTAGAAATTCACCTTATAAAACGTTATAAATAATCAAAAGCTTAGTTGTTAAAAATAATGTAATGAAACATTTTTATTTAACGGTTTTTAGATTTTCTAAAGAGTTTAAAAAAGTATTTAGCCCAGGGCCGCTGCTGTTCCAAATGGGTGCCCTAAGCAGAATCGTATTGTTGTGCCCCCCATTAATACAGTTGTCTGATTGATTTTATAGTCTCAAGCATTCAGAAATCACTCAAAAGAGAACTAAGCAGTTTTACAACGATAAAACCATGGTTGTTTTTTGTAAGGGTTGTGATGCCCACATGTTTTTGTTTTATAAATTATAGAGGCTGTAGTATTTCTATTGCAAAAAGGTGGGCAAACATGTAAGATTAAGTGGATATTTTAATTAGCCTAAATGTTCGGTCAATATAAAGGACTTGATCATCCTGTATTGTAACAGCAGCAATTACCAGGCCTTTGGCGCTCTTGCAGGCATTTGTAATAATATGTAACGTACATAAATTGTTTATTTTGTATTACATTATGTATTTTAACAGTGTTATTTGAATGAAACCATATAATTATTAATTAACCAATCATTATTGCTTCATTGTTTTATATAATGCATTTTAAGTCATTTTAAAGGCTGTTGTTAGCTTAGGTCTGATTTTATAACCACACAAATATTATCTTAATGCTTCTATGTAAATTATTATTTGAAGTAAAAACCATGGTTAATTTGTGGTTAACCATCCATGGCTACAAGAACCATGATTTTTGGTTTTATTCATAATAAAACCATGGCTAATTTTTGTAAGGGAACATGGAAAGTCAGAGAGAACATTAGATGCATTGTTGGTGGCTATTACCGACATTAAAACACATTATTAATGTCAACAGCCAAAAAAGGTTTCACAGGATTATGAATTATGGATTCTTCTTCTTCTTTTTTTTTAACTTATTATTTTTTAACTTATTATTTTTTTTCCCCTATGGTATTGAAAATGGGTGAAGGGGGTTCAAACCTTTGTCACTTTTTT